AAAAAGTCAATTAAGACCACTTATTTCTAAATTTCAAATTTAACATTAAAATTTCAAGTTGACATTATAAAAAAGAATGAATAAATACTTTTCATATTTCTAAAATATGTATTCTGTCTGATATATGCTAAAACTTATAGGTAACATTTGATATTTGAAATCATTTAAATCGAAATGAAATTTGGTGCTTGTATGTGTAATAAAGGAAAATTGAGGAAGAAATATTTTAATTAAGTTAGTGTTTTAGTAAAAGTTCATGCTACCTGGAACTTAGTTTAGTTCCTTTCATATATAGAATATGGTTTTCATTTTGTTTGACTCTTATTTTAATAAGTTAAATAGAATAATTACTGTGTTAAATAATTTCATATGCAACATGTTATTTAACGTAAGAAATTCTGTGAGCAACTATGATTTATACCACTAGAGGGCACTCTTAGAGAAGCTTTTCCTTGTTTAATGTCATTTCTGTACACCTTTCATGACAAATTGAACTTTCTCTAAAAGAATTCCAGAGAAATGATAATACTTACTAATTTCTTTCAGAATATATACCTACAGACTAATCTTTTCATAGATGTTGGTGGGGGTATTTTGTAAATTTGCTCTTTTCTCAAACCCTTATGTCTTATATAGACTAAATGTTTCTGCTGTCTGTTAACTAACTGTTAAAGGCTAGACTCTAAGCAGAAATGTAAATAAAATCTTTTTCACTGGCCTGACTTTACAACATTATCTTATGTAATTGTATACTCCCTTCCTTTCCACAACTCATCACCCCCCCCCCACTTCCCACCTCTCCCCCCAAAAAAGAAAGCTCAACAAGAATTATGGTGCGGGAGGGAATAGATGCTATGTGAAGAGGTATGTCACAAAAACTGTGTATATAGAAAGAATATTTTCTCTGGTAAACAGAAGGAACTTTTTTTTTTTTTTTTTTCCACAACTCATCACCCCCCCCCCACTTCCCACCTCTCCCCCCAAAAAAGAAAGCTCAACAAGAATTATGGTGGGGGAGGGAATAGATGCTATGTGAAGAGGTATGTCACAAAAACTGTGTATATAGAAAGAATATTTTCTCTGGTAAACAGAAGGAACTTTTTTTTTTTTTTTTTTTAACTGAGCCATCCTGCTACCTGTTGGCAGCTCAGCTCGGGCTGGACTCGAACCGCTGTTGCTCAGAGCTCAAACTCTTGAGCGAGCTCTTAACCAACTGAGCCACTCGGCCGGCCCTCAGAAGGAACTTTTTTAATGAGATTTTGACCTCCTAAGTACATAGCCCCAGATATTCAACTCAAGGCTATTTCTTTCCCATAATGTTCTAACACTTCATGTAGTAAGGTCCAGAGGAATATGACTTTAGGAGTGTTTAGCGTCTATCTAACTGTCCCTTGTTTTACATTTGCCTGAGTGTGATGGGCCCTAGAGAGCAGACGCAGTGACTGGGAATCTAACATTTTATTTCTCTCAGGATGTAGGGACTGAGGAATTTATTTGAGGTAACCAGAGTACTCAGTGATTAATGTAAAGACTTGCTTGTATTTTCAGTTCAGTCCAGTATATATTTCATAACATTTTCATAACATTTTCATAACATTTGTCTGGGTTTAGTTTATTTGCTTATCAAACTTGTGTGCATAAAAAACACCTGAGGTCTAGCGGTTCGATGCCCAGCCCGAGCTGAGTTGCTGCTGAGCTGCCAACAGGTGACAGGATGGCTCAGCTAAAAAAACAATAATAAAAAAAAAAATCACCTGAGGTCCTTGTTAATAACACAAATGCCCAGGCCTCGGCCCCAGAAAACTTAATCAAATAGGTCTGGCATGTGGCTGAGGCATCAGCACTGTTTTAACAATCTTTACCAACACCCTAGGCATGTTTTTTCTGCAAACCAAAGTTTGAGGTTTAATGGGAAGAGCAAGCTGGACCTGTTTTCTTTGTCAGGAACCTGCTCCCCTGCTATCTCCATAAACTTGAGCACGTTTCTTACTATCTCTTAACCACATCTAAAAAAGGAGATAATACATTTATTTTACACCGTAATCAGGGTTACATTAATTAACACATAAGATAGTGGTTATAACAAAGTTTGGCCCACAGAAGGCATTCCATGATGCTTCCTCATTCCACTGGAATTTCTGCCATCTGGCTCTTGCCCACCTTGCCACTCTGATCTTTTACATCCTTAACTCTCCGCCACACATGTTAGATTTCTTGTATAAGTAAGTGGGTCAGTGAGGCTTCCGTGCCTTTACATTTGTAATCACCTACCCTGGGAATGCCTCCTCCTGCTGCTGCTTTACTAATTCCTTACTTGTGTTTTAACACCATTCACTTGTCAGAGCTTCTGTGACCATTCTGACCTTCCTGCATTCCCGGCCCCCACCACATACATGCTCTCGCTTGCTTTCCTCTGCCCAGTCCTCTCCCACCGACAGGCATCGTGCTATAATGAAGAGAGCACGAATTCTGTGAGCAGGCATGGATATGAATCCTGGCAGCCTGTAACTAAATGTGTGAATTTGGACAAGTTGCCTTGATTCCTCTCAGACTTTTTATATATATATATATATACACACACACACACACACACACACACACACACACACACACACAAAATGGGGACAATATTACTGTGCAGTGTTGTGAGAAATAAGGGAATAATGTGTGTGAAGCACCTAGCACATAAGCTTTCAATAAATAGTAGCTGTTTCTTTTATGATGATTTTATGTGTCTTTTCCCTTATTCACCTTTCTGTGTTCAGTGCATAATAAAAACTGACATTTAATAGGTTCTCAGTAATTATTTGGTGGAGGAATGAATGTTTCTGTGAATAAATGATAACTACATGAAAGGCATTTGGAAAACTATCAAACACTATTTAAAGGTTCTACTTACATATGAATGCAGAATTTTCTGATATGAGGCCTACATACTGTGCATTTCAAATTTTATTACAATAAAATTATATATTGCTAAATTCAACTGTTTCAGAAAAAGGTAATTAAATTTAAATTTTAAAGCTCTTATGAATTAGAGTAATACTGTATTATTAATGTGCTGATATATTTTAAAGTTGAAGTTCAAAATTAACATTTATAATAAAGCAGTTATGATTTGAGATACAGTTTTCAAATAATTGATTTATCACAATCAAAATTCATTAATTTATTTGATATATAATATAATGGTTTAATAAAATAGCCCACTGATTTAACAGTATTTTCAAAATATTTCTTTTCCTTATAATAGCAACAGTTCATTGAGTTGGATGAGAGCAGACAGAGATTATTGCAGAAATGCAAGGAACTCATGAAGAGAGCTAGGCAAGTGTGTAACCTGACTGCAGAGCAGACCATTCCTCAAGATTACATGACAGTAAGTATAAGAAGCATATAATGCTACTAGTTAACATATTTAACATTTTTAAGCTTAAAATGTGTTAGGCATTATAATGGGCCATGGAAAACATGATGTGTATAAAAAATACAGCACATCATTTTCCCCATTTTTTAATTGAGTATGTATGTAGTTTTGCTTAACACATTTTTCTCTACTCATACTTGGGCAGCAGTCAGTCTTATTGCTTAGTACTAAATTTATTAAAATATGGGTATCACCTTGCAAAATTATTAGCACCATAACATTCACTTTTCCAGTAAAAGATTTTTTTCCCCCCAAGCTACCTGTAAGGGATAGCAGTAATTGGTATATAAGAAATAGTAAATAGAGGTGATATTTAGAAATACAAAGGCAAAATGAAAATGTTTTCCTGGACGTTAGGGTTTTTATTTCGGGGTTTAATGGGAGCTGAATGTTCAGGGCTGAAACTTGTTGACAAGGAAAGAGAAAAGAGCCTTTTCTTCTCTCCATTATTTTATATGCGGATACCTCATTCAGTTAGTTAGTAAAATGAGGAAATGCACCTTTTAGTCCAAGTTCCATCATTAATTATATAGCCCTGTAACCCCTAAGTTTTATCTGACAGGTAGGTCTATTACCATGCCTACATACCTATTCTCAGAATAATGTCACAATGAGAAAACAAATTTTAAAATATCTAGTATTTGTATGGCTTTTTTGATTCTTAATTTCAAATGTTATCTATTTCAATAGATAATGAAATGTCTACTAAGGATATAAGTAGAACTGGAAAAACATTAATTTGGATTATTATTTTCAAATCCTCAAAGATTTTACTCTATGGTATCAGACACAGAGACCACAGAGAATGGATCTGTTTGGGTACATAGGAGGAATTTAGTAGATATTTTTAAGACGAATTGAGGAGCTGTTGTTTATAAAAATGTACTAGAACTTCTCCAAAATACACTGTTATCATACAGTATGTAAATATTAATACAATATCTGTACTAATTTTTTCTTTCAGAAAGTAGCATGATTCTATACTTACACTGTTTTTGAAAGGAACAAAATTAGAAGATAATTTATATACTTACTAATAATTGCACTTGTGTGTGTGCATCGGGCATTGAACAAGACAGACATACTTCCTTGTCTACTGAAATTCATATTCTAGTCTGGACCATGGGGCAGACAAAAAAAACAAACAAAAGCAAATAGGTAATGTTGGGTAGCAAGCAGGAGATGCTAAGAAGAAAAATAAGACAAGGTGAGAGGGTAGTGTCAAGGAAGGCTCCTTTGAGAAGATACTGTTGCTCTGGGGCCATGAATGAAGAGAAGAAATCAGTCAAGTAAAGATTTGAGGGGAAAGTATCCCAGCCAGAGAAAACAGCTCATACAAAGCCCCTGGGGCAGAAGTATCTTTGGCATGACTCAGAGAAGAAGGAATCTCAATAGAGCTGTAAGATTAGAATCCAAGCAAAAAGGAAGACAGAAGTCAAATCATGTAGGGCCTTATAGACCATAGAAGGAGTTGGGGTTTTTGAGATAGAATCTACTGGAGGATTTTAAGCTAAAGAATGATGTAACTGACTTCCGTTTATAAAAGACCACTCCTATTTGCTATATGGAGAATGAAGTAGAGAAACCAGACTGGAAGCAAGGAGGCCATTTAGAAGACAAAAGATTATAATGGTATGGATTAGAGAGGAAGCACTGGAGAGTTTTTAGATTTGAGTATCATTTTAAGAACAGAGCCAGCAGGACATGCTAATGGATTTGAGGTGAAAGTTAAGCGGGAATCCTTAAATTTTGCCATGTACTGAAATGGAGATGATTAAAGAGGAGAAATGGTAGGGAATATTTGTGTTTCACCATCTTAAATTTAAGATGCCTATTAGAGTCAAGTGAAGATATTAAGTCTTGGGCACATGAAGTCAAAGCTCAGTGGACGAGTCAGATTCAGCAAAATATATTTAACAAATAATCTGAAGGCCTGTTGAAGTTGAACTTTCTTAAAAGGTTCAAAAATACTTTAAATATTAATGTAATGCCAGGATCTCTTTCAGGATTTCAAGATTCATTTTGTACCTTGTAGTATATGCACTTGGCAGGTTGTGCTGGCAAAACAATGTGCTGCTTGCTTCCCCTTGTAGGAAGGTATCTGTCCTAATTTGTTTCTACAGCATGGACTCAGAAGATAGTGCTATGGTGAAATTCTACAGTCACAGCAATTGGAGTCTTAGGATGCTTTTGCAGTTCTTCATAAGTACAGTATAAAGTTCTAACTTCTTGCTTTCTTTCAATGCCCCACATATTCTGGACCCATTCTACCAATTCAGCAAGTACCCACCATTCCAAATGGACACAACTCCTCACCCCCCATGGTATGCAGTGCTTGTTCTTTTTTCCAAGCTCCTAGCTCCCCTCTGCCTTGCTTTTCCTTAGCCATTTGCTTTAAGGCCCAGAGATGAATTCTAGGCCTCTGAATTCTCTTAACTCTCTTATAGCTCCTGTAGCATGAACTCATACGTCCTTCTTTAAATTCCATAGCCTATATGAGATTTACTGCTTATTTTAATACTCAACATCAATACATTGCCTTAAGGTATTATCCAGTGTTATTAAGTACATATATTTGTTTTCCTTTTAATTATAAACTTTTTGAAAGCAAAACCCCTGTTTATAATTTCTTTGATTCCTTGTGTGTTAGCATGCTGTTGAACACATAGTAGTAGATACTTAGCAGAATATTTTTTTTAACTATTTGAACTATTTTCACTGTACTATTTGTAATGATGGACATTTTTTTCTTCTTCTTTAGGCTTTCCAAGATCTTCCAAACACATTGGATGAAATTGATGCTTTATTAACTGAAGAAAGATCAAGAGCTTCTTGCTTCACAGGACTGAATCCTACAGTATGCTTCTTGCCCTATTGCCTACTGCATCCACCACCACCCTCCCCATACACACGCGCGCGCGCACACACGCACACACAGTTCCCTCCAGTACTTGCCTCCCACTCTGTACTAGAGCTCTTGGTAATAATAAGCTAGACAGCAGGAACAATGTGCTTTAAATGCCAGATTCTGAATCTATTAGAATTTTAAATAGATTCTTCCTAAGGAACACAGTGTTCTGTGCCTTTTCTTTATAAAAAGGATAGTTGGGCTAACCTGAAATATTGCAATGTCTATTTTTTCAAGGATACAAAAAAAATGGCATTTCAATATGTTATAAAAACATACAAATAATGCAACACATTGGCATTTTCATTTAATGTTTTAATTGATGCACATTTTCTGTAATTTTGTCCTCTAGTAGAGTTATCTTTAAAAAAATCATTTTTTTCCTGCTAGGTTGTTGATGATTACACAAAAAGAGAAGAAGAAATAGTGCAATTAACTGGTGAACTAAAGATAAAGAAAGTTGAACTGGATAAATATAGGGAAAACATTTCACAGGTAATGGTTTAATCTTTATCTTTTCTTCTTGTCGTGTTCTTTCCATCAATCATATGGGAATGTAGAATAATGTAAAATGAAACGATATGCTTCTGAGAAAAAAAATGCAATGTATATTCTTATGACTAGGTTGATACTGATATTTAAATTAGTTTTATGTAAACTTTTGTATCAGAATCTAATAACATTTCTTTTCAATTGTATTTTTATATTGCCTTTATTTGTAGGTAAAAGAGAGATGGCTTAATCCTTTAAAAGAGATGGTAGAAAAAATTAATGAAAAATTCAGCAGATTTTTTAGTTCTATGCAGTGTGCTGGTGAAGTTGTTCTCCATATAGAAAATGAGGTAAAATTTGTTTGAAATATTTCATGGCAAGTAATCTTAATTATATGTAAATTATTTACTCCAGTTATATCTGAAAATTTTTTCAAAGGAAAAAGACTAGTTATCGGATTCCATCAGGATCTTTTTTGTGTGTGTGACATTTGAGATTGGTGACTAATACCTTACCAACTCTTTTTATATCCATTGTAAGTAATGGTTATTTAGCTGTGATGAATAAATGCATTGCATTGCTTTCCGCTATCCAAGTTAGAAGAGTCATAAATTGGCAAACATAACTGAAATATATCAGTGGTTTCCTTTATGATCAAGAATTGAACAGCTCATAAGAATGAAAATATTTGAAAACTTGCTGCTGCTTTCTTGAGCTTTAAGTTTATGAATTAAAATTGTGGGTAAAATAAAATTACCATTAAGAAATGTATAAAGAGATGAACTGGGATTTGCTTCACAAATAATCGGGAAAGAGGAGTTGGTGGAGTTACAGGTGAAACAAGCATAGTCATGTATCGATCACAGTGGAGACCACCTGATGATACACTGAGCTTATTTTAGGGTTCTAATTTTGTATATGTTGAAAATTTTCCCTAATAAGTTCTTTTTTTAAGGGAGGAGAGGAAGGAAGGAAATTCCTTGCCTTCACAGCTCAACATTTTGCATTTTAGTTTGTATGCAATTTTGCATGTATGTTCCATACATAAATGTAAAGCAAAGTAGCACTTTTTTCTCCACTTAGGAACTTTGTCCCGTGACTCCATCTGCTTCGTAGGAGACATAAGGATAGCAAACATTGTTTCACTTTTAAGTTCTAGTAAGGTAGTAGACCCTGCCACAGTAATTGTTATCTACCCAGTCTTTGGGCTTGTTAGAACTTCAGGGACATATTGTAATAACAATAATAATATATAATATACTTTCTTTGTGCCAGGCACTATGTCAGGCACATTTAAATTTGTTATCTTGTTTAATCTTCGTAAACATTCTATAAAGCAGGTACTTTTATCAACCTTATTTTACAAATAAAGAAACAAACTTACAGAAACTTTACTAAAGGTCACAAAGCTATCAATTGGCAAAGCAAAAAATCAAACCCCAGATCTGATCCCAGAGCCTAAGCTCTTAAATACTGTCCCTTCAATGGAAGTGGCATCATTTTTATGGGATGAAAACTTGATTATTGAGAGCTTTGTCAAATTGAGAGTAACTGCAGTATCTTTATCAAATAGCTTGACCAGATGAGGCATAAATATGATCAAGAAAACATAGGGAAGCCTATGGAGCTTGAGCTGCCATAGAAACCCCATTCTTTAATCTAGGTCCTCTTGCATAGTGGTGCTATAACTCTAGCATGTGCTGTTTCTTCTGGATAGTTTTTCTGTGTTTTTAAATGATAACTCGGTGCAATAACACTGATTCTTAGCCTTTTCAGTTCGATTGTTATACGTAGCCATGGGCCCTGGAAAATGGACATTCTTATCTCTTCTCAGCCTTTCCCTTATTGTGCTTCTATTCTAGACTCCTCAATCACAGTTCTAGAACTGACTTCTTTAGCCAGAGCTTTCAGTAAGATGCAGGAAGCTAGAATTGGGCAGGAAGAGCAAAGAATACGTGGCTGAGCCAAAACTCTAGCAATCAAAGCTGCTATAGTTGAGAAATAGCATAGTTAATGAAGTTATTATGGAAGAAACAGAATTATAAATTTAAAAAGTAAACCATGGGAATCAAAACTGTTAAAATTTAATGTTGTCATTTGTTTTGTTTTTGTTTTTGGAGGGCAAACAGATTAAAGGCAGTATTTCTAAAATTTGATAGCCTATCAGGATTCTTACATTTATGGTTAAGATATTTGTATTTTTATAGAAGCTCTTACTGTTGCTATTAGACCACTGCTGTCCATATGGTAGCCATTAACTGCATATGATTATTGAGCACTTGAAACATGTAAAATGTGCTGTAAGTATACAATACACACCAAAGGATGTAAAAGTATATTAAAAATATCTTACTGATTACATGTTAAATCTATTTTGGGTATATTTGATTAGATAAAATGTACTAAAATTAATTTCACATTTCTTTTTACTTCAATGGCTATTACCAAATTTTAAATTGCCTATGTGGCTTATATTATATTTCTCTTGGTTGGTGCTGTCTAGCTCTTAAAGCTCTATTCATTAAATAGTTAGCCTTTAATTATTAAGTTATGCATCTCATTTTTGGGGTAAATCCAAACCTGATGGATCTAGAAATGACATTGATAAAAGCAGTAAATAAGCCTTAGAGCAACCTCAGTTTGAGCAAAATTTACAGAGCACTGAATGTACTCATTACAACAAATACTTAGTGAGAACTTATTATATGACAGGCTTTTGCCTGTATCATGTGTATATATTTGATTTAATACAAATATTTTTTCTTGACCAGCTGAAGAAGCAGGGAAGACTCTTGGCCCCCTGCAGTGGTGACATACAGTTGCCTCTCTAGTAGAAAATGGCATGATACGCCACTGCGTTCTAATTATTTGCACCTGTAGCTTTTAACACCAGCAATTCAGTAGCTAGAAAAGGTAGTGCCTCTCCATGACACGGATCTTCACTCAGTAATTTCTAAAAATCCTTGGGAAATCTACTAAAGTTGAAATGAATGTTATGAGATGAGGAAAAAGGTTACTCTTAATCTGAATATTTTTCTTATCGTCATAGATCCTTGGAGACCCCCTAAAGCTTGAAGATAGCAACTGTTTATTTAATATTTTATTGGTTTACTTTAAACTATCACTACATTTTAAGTTCTTTATTCTTATAATTGATTTATTCAGCCTGTTTTCAAATAACAGTATAAAATTACCAGAGAAAACACATCTTTCATCAGCTTTTTAAATGTCTTACAGGAAGACTATGATAAATATGGAATTCAAATTAGAGTCAAATTTCGCAGTAGTACTCAGCTGCATGAATTAACTCCTCATCATCAAAGTGGAGGCGAAAGAAGTGTTTCTACCATGTTATACTTGATGGCCCTTCAGGAGCTTAATAGATGTCCATTCAGAGTAGTGGATGAAATCAATCAGGTATAGTGATTATTCTTTTACTTGAGTTTTATCTTATATCTTATAATAGATTAAATATAATTGTTACTATTGTCATTGCTTAGGGAATGGACCCGATCAATGAACGGAGAGTGTTTGAAATGGTTGTAAATACTGCTTGTAAAGAAAACACTTCTCAGTACTTCTTTATTACACCAAAGGTAGGTAATAAGTAACCTAAAAATGCTCATGTACTCAGAAGTCCCCTGTGGCTTAATCATGTAGCAGATTTGGGCCCAATATGTAAATTTGAGCAGGAACACTCCCAGAAAGGGAACTAAAAAGATTACAGCAATATTTATATTACTAAAGGGGACAAGTTCCAGTGACATACTTAATCAGAAACCTCACTATCAGAGAAAGAAACGTAAGGAGGCATAGCATTATGTTCTAGAACAGAGATTTCTTCCCTGCTTTTGGCCCTTACTCCTCCTCTAGAGAAGATCCCTTTTTAGCATTAAAAGATGGCAGGGAAACACAAGCCCCAGCACTCTGCCCTCATTTCCCCAGAAAGGCCTGTGTTGGCGTCCTCTGCCCCTCTTCAGTCGGCACTGCCCTGGCCCAGAGGAAATCATGGGTGTCCCAACATCCACGCACAGATTAACTATGATAAAAACAGAAGTATATTGATAGAGAATGTTCCATAAGCTAGAACCATTGCAACGGGAAATTTTCTTTAGTTACGTCTTATGGTGTGGGTAAATTATAAAATGGATGTACAAAGATGTATTTATTGATGTCATCAATATTTTTTTCTCTTAACTAAGTATTCGTGGAAATTTTCATTGGAGAGCCCAACCTAAATTCAGATTTTTATTGAATAGTATACTCTTCTTGTTCCAGCAGATACTCTATAGAACAAGCAGATCTGTTAATACCCTCTTGTTTACCAAATACACTGGTCTATAAATAAACCAGACCTCCCTGTTACACACTTTTCAGGCTGCCAGTCTGTCATAGTGCCTGACCGTAAAAGTTGCTTGAGAATTGTTTGTGGAAAAATGAGTGAAAGTACCTATCCGGAAAATTCTGGAGGACACACTTCTGCAAGGTCTTACCTAAGAAGTTGTCTGATCCAGTTTGGCCTGTGAATGTAGAGGGTTCCCTAAGCATGTTGATTATTCCTTGGCCAGGCTTCAGATGTGCTAATTCAGGTAAGGATCACAGTCTGGCAGGTTATCAATTGAGTTATTTGAGAGCTTCATAAGAGTTTCACTAATATTACAAGTAATATATTTATACATGTAAGATTGGCAAATTGGGCTTTTTAATGTATACAGCATTATATGATAAGTTTGTTTTAACATTTACAGCTCCTACAAAACCTCCCTTATTCTGAAAAGATGACAGTATTATTTGTCTACAATGGTCCTCATATGCTGGAACCAAACAAATGGAATTTAAAGGCTTTCCAAAGACGGCGGCGCCGTATTACGTTCACTCAACCTTCTCAGTAAAAATAAGAGGAGAGAACTTTGGAATTTTTCTGTTAACTTCTATTTATCAGTATGACTCAACTGAATAAAAGCTAGGAGATCCATTAAGACTGAAATATCAGTTCTTTTGGAAACTTGCTGTTAAATACAAATGGGTTGATGGAGACTGTGATGACTTCTTTCTGTGGAATAGTCTGGTAGTAAAAATTACATCTTTGTCAGTCAGTCTTTGTTGACTTGAGTCCGTCTCACTCTAACTGCAAGTCATTGGTCCCCATTTTAAAAAGTATTTACTATTTGAAATCAGAGGTATAGTGGGAGGGGTTATCGTCATAGGAAGTTTAGTTGACATGGTAACCCTGAGCTTTAACTGCAGAGTAACTTTAATTATTTCTAGAGTCTAAAGATGACTCTAGAGCTTAAGTCATAGTTTTCTCCCAGTGTTATATTTAATTTTTAAAAATTGACATGGAAATGTCTAATGTACAGTATTAATTTATGACAAATCTATTCATTTCTTCCTATTTTAAAGATGACCTTATCTCCACTAGGAAATGGAATTTTATGGGCCTTTAAACAAGTTTTATGAAACTTGGTACTATAATTGTATTGGTATCTCAAAAGAAGAAAAGTACTGGTTTCAAAAATGGTAGTGGGACTTCTTTGAAATGCCACAAGGTGGCCACTAGATGATGCAAGATGCAACCAAAAGACTGACAGAAAATAAAATGAAGTGACAAGCGTTTTTAACGAATAACCCTGTAAAGTGTGTGGGTTTTTGTTTTTGTTTTTTTTTAATTTAAAGTCAATTGTATTTTACATCTTAAATTTCTAAAAGCATTTTTATAATTATTTTTAGTAAGATTTTTCTTAAGATTTCATATACTGGTTTCTACGATTTATATTTGAAATTTCTTGATATTATATAAAGAGTGAGAGAAAGCATTGATTTGTTTAAAACCATAATGTATCTAGAACTTAAGCTTATAGGTCCTTTCTTACAGTGTTGATCCTACCCCATTATCTTAGAAAATCTGTTTAAACTGTGTTTCTTTCAGCATGAAAGAATGAGATGAGAAAATCATTTGTTTATCTCTGAGTTATACCAATTAACAGTACCAAACAAATTCTATTCTTTTAAAAAATAAATCTTGTAAAAAAATGGACTAGTCCAAGGATATATCTTTGAACAGTGGATTGGATTTGCGCCAGTAATGACAAAATTATTTTTTTGACTTGGGAGCCTGAATAAATTGAAGAATTGCATTCAGTTTGGGTTTTGTATATTCTTAAATAGCCACTGAAATTTATATTCTTATTATGTCAAAAAATAATTAAACGTAAGTAGTGTCCTCTCACATGGACATTTCTCTTCAAAAAGGTAGTTTTTCTTCATAAAAATTTTAAAAGAACCTTCTCTAAAGTAAGTCTAATGCATGTATTATGAAAAAATTTTTAAATAACATTTTTACTGGTATGAACAAGTAAACATTGAAACACTTGGTAACATGATAGTAAATGGATGTTGTTTCCGAATGTTTTGTTGTTTAATACTTTGTTTTCCACCAAAATATCTTCACTAATATGTGCTTGGTGTAGTTTATTGTGTAAATTAGTGCCAGTCATCTTATTTCTGCAAAATGAATATCAATGTGAAAAGGAAGCTTGACAATTGGGTGTGTTTGAAAATCAATAGCCAGTTACATTTCAGTTTATGAGGTGTGATCAAAGCATACGGTGAATGTTTAAATTTAAAATAAAAATTATTACAGTAAAAGACACATTGCCATTAGTCCTTCTCAAAATACTCCCCTCACTTTGAAGACACTTATCCCATCGTTCTTGCCACTTTCTGAAGCAGTTCTGGAAGTCCTCTTTTGTGAGGGTCTTTTTTTTTTTTTTTAAGATTTTTATTGGGGAATTGGGAGGATGGGAACAGTGCTGGGGAATTGGGGGAAGGGGAACAGACAAGTTGCTGTCCTTTTGTTCTTTAGTCTAGTTGTGGAGGACGTTGCTTCACTGGCCCAAGTTGGCACCATCATTGCGCTCTTCCTGGGCGAGGCAGATCAGTCACCGGCTTCTGGAAGGCCGCTCACTGCGGCTGCTGGCCGCTCATGCTGGCTGCTGGCTACACACGGTAGCCCATGGCAACCCACTGCCACAGGGACTGCAGCCTACACCGTCGCCGGCGACTCACGGCAGCCCAGCTCCAGGTTGAGCTGTTGTTCAGCATCTTAGCTGTAGAGGGCAGTGTCACTGGCCCTCATATGTGGGATCCGAACCGGGGCCCTCTGGCATCCCAAGCCAGTTCTTAACCATCGCGCCACTCGGCTGGCCCTGTGAGGGTCTTTAGTTGCGCTGTTGTGGCTGCCTCGATGTCCTGAATCATTTTGACTTTGGGGAAGAGCCAGAGGTTGCCCAGTGCCAGATCCAGTGAAGAAGGTGGATGAGGACACACTGTAATGTTTTTACTTGACAGAAATTGCTGTACCAGAAGCAATATGTGACATGGAGCATTGTCATGATGGAGGATGATTTATAGCACACTTAACACATCTTCTCTGTACCGTAGCTCACACCTGATTGACTGCACCAAACAAGTTAAAACTTGTCACACACTGTTACTAAGGTTCTACTTGCCACTTCCCATATTGAAGATCCCTGCCTTTTTATTGGATGGCACTCAGCAGCAGCATTCACTGTATTTTGTGATCACAACAGAAAGGCTGTGTGTCACATGTCGCTTCTGGTATACGGCAGTTTCTGTCAAATAAAAACATTACGGTGTGTTCTTATTTACCTTATTCACCAGATTTAGCACCGTGTGACTTCTCCCCAAATTCAAAATGACCATGAAAGGGGAAAAAAAAATGACCATGAAAGGTAAATGTTTTGAATCGATTCAGGACATCAAGGCAGCCACGACAGCGCAACTAAAGACACTCAACGAAAGAGGACTTTCAGTACTGCTTCTCAAAGTGGCAAGAACGATGGGATAAGTGTGTTTGAAGTGAAGGGCGGGGGGGGGGTTTTCTGAGGGGATTAATGGCAATGTGTCTTTTACTGTAATAAGTTTTGGTTTTTTTTTACTTAAACATTTACCGTATTGTTTGATCACACCTCGTACATATGCCAACAATTACTCCATACCTTGTTTGTAAGCATTTATATTTCTCTACTGGACAAAGTTAATATTTGGTTTTGATTTGAATTTTGAGCTGTGAAGGATAAATTATGTATCATTTTAACATATTAATAAAAGAATAATAAGTCTAGCACATTATAGACTCAGCCATTTAAAACTTCATGTATTTTCTGCAAAAGTTGGTTTTTAATGACATTCACATTATAAAAACTTAAAAATTATTTGATGAATAAAATATCGAAAACCTTAAGGTGACAAGTATTTTTTTTTTTTAAAGATTTTTATTGGGGAATTGTGAGGATGGGAACAGTGCTGGGGAATTGGGGGAAGGGGAACAGACAAGTTGCTGTCCTTTTGTTCTTTAGTCTAGTTGTGGAGGA